CTTCTACTAGGTCGAGTAGGCTAGTCTGCTGCGAGGGGTTATTTTCAGCTAGATTAGCTGCTTGGACTACTAGGTTTCTCGCTATTTCTAGCGCCTCTTGTACTGATATTGCCTTCGGAGTTCTGCTTTAAGTACTGAATCTAAGCGTAGCTCCTCTAAATGGTGAGAAGTTGCTCCTAGTGCGTATTTCTGGCGAGAAGTTTGCCTGCCGTTTATTTGGTGGGAGGATTGGTATTTCAACTACGCTAGGTATAGTAGTCTGCGTAGGCGTCGCTGGTTCCGTGGTTTCCATATCTATCTCATTCTGGATCTGAGCTTCGATTTCTGCTCTCGCCTGGGTGCCTGGCACGTGTACGTCGATAGTATCACTATCGGGTGGCATTTTGATTACTAATCCACCTGGTCTGTGTGTTTTTCGGTGAAAAATAAGACGTGTCTAAAGTGATCACTTTAACAGCCTATAGCTCCACAGCGCGTGGCGTGCACGCTTTAAAGGTGATTGTAATCGATTTCTCGCGAGGGGTTTATATATATTTGACTAAAATTACACCTATTCTAGAAAACTCGAAGTTGTCTGTGCTGCGGTTGGCCTTGTTGGTAATTTTTGTATAGAGAGGGCGGTATATTTATAGAAAAAGTTATGTACTATTGTCATTAATAATAGTGATAACCTCTATCTAAGTTTTCATAAAGGAGATACAAAGACAGATAGTATAAACAGCCTAAAGAAGAATAGCTTTTTTGGTAGGGAGGAAAAAGTTAGTGACACTAAGAACTTTGAAACTGTTAGTGTAAAGGATGAGAAGAACGAGAGGAGCGGATTGTAGGCGCATAGAGAATACGAATCTATAGCTAATGATCATAAGATACTATATGGGTGGAGACCACATAGACTGTGATCATGTTCAACGGCGTCTTATACCTAATGATGATGATTATAAGTAATTAACCTTCATAACAAAATTAATCCACAACTTCGTTGGACACCTATCAAATCTGGCAGCAGTATTAGCTGGCTAAACTCCATCTAATTTCATATCTACGATAAGGACTGACTATTGACAAAGCAATTCCAGGTAAACATTCATCCAAATGCCAAGTAAGCTCAGGAACTAAGAAGCTTATTGAACACTACTGGTTACTAATAGATTTGGGATTGCGATGGTGGTCTTGCATGTTTCCCCCACTTCACCATCGCAATCCTCCTTACAGCACTATTCGACAAGTAAGCGAAGTACTTAGTGTCTTGGCGGCCCATGACGCGCCTCTTTGACAATGGATTGTTCCGTGCTTACCTGAGCTTACTCGCCCTAACCCAGACCAAGAACAGAGAAGCATAGGATTCTCCTGCGCAATAGTAGAGCCGCTGTGGAGCGAAGTAAGGCCGCTACCCAACAAAGTGGAATATGAACCGACTATAGTAATAGTATATCCACCTTTTCTCTACTTATCTCCCAACTATCACGCCTAGTAATACAATCTTCCAAAACATACCTTTTGCACATACCTGTTTGAAGTGGGAATGAGCGGTACAACACAGTACCTTGTACTTATAATGACTTAAATTCTAGTATACACTCTAGAGTTAGAGATGGGAGTTATGAAGAGGTAGTTGTGTTATAACAGAGACGATTATCTACTTGGACGACTGTGCAAAGATATTAGTAGCTAATAGACACAGCATTGTTGCTAACTATAACTGCTTTACTTGTCAACAAGAGGTAACATTATCAGACTACAAATAACTAGTACAGTCTTACTAGGAATGTTTCTAGGTTTGCACCTTTGTTCTCGTAAAAAATTACTAGTTTTAAGCCTAATCGCATCTTTACTCCCGAGGACGCTTTAGACTTTTGAGCAACGAAACACAGGAAGCATAACTCAGTATTGTCCCCGGCATAATCCTGTAAATAATTATTGCCTGGGCAGATTAAATTAACGCATTATAAAGGGCTTAGGCTACGTTAGCATTAAGAACGTAAGCAATTATACAAATCTTCGGTATTCCCTCTAACACTATCTAGGCTAAACTGTGTTTACAATATTAGTGACATATTAATTGTATTGCCTATACATTATCCTTAAGGCTTATAATTCGATGAAACTTGTTGTAATCGAAAACAAGCCAGCGAAACCATACACGACGGAGGATCCTTAGCATCTCAACCATTACTTCGACTACATTAGACAAGCAATAATGTGTGTAGGTGGCGTAGTGCTAGAGAGGGTGGTAACTACTTTTCCAGTTAATGAGCATGGCCATGATAGAGGGGGTAGTGACGGATAGGATGCCGTCCATGTATGCAAGGATTACAGCCAGATATATGCATATTTAGAAAAGGAGACTGCTAGTCGTAAAAAGTGGATAGGTTAGCAAGAATGGCAACTAACTGCGCTGATTCTGCTGCTACTATGGTATCATCCTCCTTGCCTCAGCGGCCTGGCGCACCGGGATACTGCCAGCCAAGATGTACGCCATCGTGTCCATATATAATGTATCGAGATATTTTGAGCAGGTTGGTGGCAAACTTGTCACTGTTGGACGAGGCTGGCGTAATGTTGCCAAAGACGGGCTGCGTGGCTGTCATTGTCCGAAAAGGTTCAACCGCCCAGGCTAACAAAGAGCTACAGCTTGGGGTTGAATAGCTTCAGACTCACCACGTGCTCAAACTTCTTTGCAGGTGTGGCAGCATTCATGGTGGTGATTCCAAAGGACTCGGAGTCGACGTCAGCAAATGCATAGTTGAGATGAGTCTTCCACTATAGAAGGAAGGAACCATAGTCAATGCGGGCTTGGCGGTGGGGCGCAGAATCCTGGTCAATCTCGATTCTCCTGCTCGGACTTACTTTTCCGACTTGTAGCGATTGTGAACTATTCCTATTCCTGCACTATGCCGACCAAGAGCAGGTGAGACCGGCACCCGGCTCGGAGCGGCGCACAGGCGGGCGGTTCCAGACAGGACCCAATTATCAATATTGCTTGTTTTGTGGAACCTGCACGGAGACGGTGGTTGTAATAGTTCCAGATGATAGCATGGCCTATCCAGGTGAGTTGATTTGCCAGTGAAATTATTTCTTTCCCATGACCAAATCTAACGACTAGCAAGCAATGACCATCATTGACCGCTTTCTCTACGCTGCCAGCCTGTCTTGCCACAAGGACTCGTGAGCACCGAGTATCCCCGAGAGTCCCATAGCCCCATGCCGATAACGCCAGACTTCCTCGAGCGAGTACTGTCATGTGGTAGCTGCGGGCTGTATGGAAGGAGACAAGCCATATACCATGGAACAGGAATGCTTCTTATGCCAGCTGGATACTCAGGCCAAGCAACTCGGGTCACCGTCCGGCTATGACGAGCAGGCTGCCTCTGACTGCGCCTCGATCACGTCCGGCTGTGCCGCTACCAAGTATACCTATGAGATTTCTCGGGCTAAGCTACCAACTCTACCTCTGCAAGTCTGTCCGGGCCAGTATGCAACACTGGCAGGAATTACACCATCCAAGATGGCGACTTGTGCAACTCGATTGCCGAGGCGCAGGGCGTATCGACTCCGGCCCTCATCAACCTCACTAACATTGATGCGGGCTACGACGGGATTCCTCCTGTTGGTACGGATATCTGCGTTCTATTGTCTTGCACACTCTACTAAATCGACATCGGTAAGCTCGCTCCGGGGATCGGTCGTGATTTCTGATGGTGACACCACCACGACTGAAGCTCCTAGGCCTACTGATGCCTAGCAGAACTCAAGCACACATTGCGGCAAATGGTACTTTGTCAAAGAAAAGCGGTACTTGCGCGTCCATCTTGGTCGCGTTCACCCGCGGAGCCTACACAGGAGTCTGTGCCTTCGTTTGCCCCTTCAGCACTCAACTCTCGCGTGCCCGATACGGTCAACTATTGTGACACATACATGAGCCCATGGCCACAAGATATCATTGTCGCAACCCCCGAGTGCAATTCCTGTGACTATTAGGCCAGCGCCGCTGACGTAAAGGTGGTCCAGCTGCTACGATGGAATCTCGGTTTGAGAAAGGTGAGCATCTCTTCCACAACATCTTGTATAGCTCAGTAGACTGACATCAATATCTCCGCTAGATGCCCCGGCGACAGCTGAGCCTTCAGCCACCATCAATGCACCAACAGCCTTGACCACTAAACCTACCGCGTCGAGCACTGGCTCTTCACTCACAAACGGTCAGTGCGATATAGGACGTACAACCTATACGTACATACATACATGCATACATAAATACTGGAGTGCAACGGCAACGGCAAGATTTGCCTTGGGTCCGGGTTCGGTAACCGCTGCTCGAGAGAAGGCTGGTGTAGTAGCTCGACCGACCACTGCGAAACCGGCTATCAGTCCTCATTTGACACCTGAATTACTGCCGCTAACAACATCTCTACCGATGCTCAATACGGAAGCAATGGAAAGACCTGCAAGGGCTCTGGTTTCGGTGGCTGTTGTTCAACAAAGCGGGTCTTGTGGCGTCGCTGCTGCCCACTGCGACGCGCAACGGGGTCGTCAAGCAGCGTTTTGTGACTGCTCCGCAGGCTCTTTAGTTCATAAGCAAGTTGGGTGTTTTTATCTACTGTTAATTATAGTAAACCCTGTAACGTTTTGAAAGTAAATCCGGATGCGATGCACGCTACGGCTAATTTCCGAAATACGAAGCACGCATGACCATCCAATGTAGATATGCGGGGAACCCGTCAAAACACCTCCCTAAGCAAGCAAACATGCGAACATCCCAGCGGGGTCATCTATATTGAATCGAAGATGCCTTGGTCGAAGACCCGAAGAGATCTACAGATATACAAGCATGTGACGAACGTAAATTGTACAAGTAGGGAGCGATCAAAGACATTATACAAGTGGCCATTTGGATATTTGCAATACACACTGTCAAGACCAAGATGTCGCATTACCTGCCAATTTGCCACTTCGGCATCATTGTACTTCTTTTTCCCTACCTCAGCGTCTTCGCTGTTCCATCAGGATACGATGCAGCCTCTCAGTTGGAAATACGAGTAACCCCCTCAGGCATTGGTATTGGCGCCGCTACATTAACTTCCAAATGGCTTGAGGGCTCGGATAAGGTTCAGATCATTGAAATGGTCCTCACCAACCATGACACAGCAGAATCTTTCACTAAAGCAGATAACCTCACGATTACAGCATCTTCTTCATCTTTTGATCTTGTCCAGCCGGCCAGAATTACACGGCTTATGGCTGGACAGCAAGTTGTGACGCAAATTGGCGTCAAGAATAAGGCAGGAGTTGCGCCTGGATATCCATGTTCAGGAACTGTAACTGCCAACTGGATTGGTGGAGAGACAACCACCCAGAACATCACTGGATCTTGCGGTTTCGGCGACTATACTGCAATCAAGGCCAGCCTCAACAGACACTGGACTCCTGACTGGTATAACAATGCCAAGTTCGGCATCTTTATTCACTGGGGTGTCTACTCTGTTCCGGCGTTTGGCAATGTGGGCGATAAGGAAGATTATGCTGAATGGTACTGGATGCGCATGACACAGCCAAGCTACAAGTCTCAGACGTACCAGCACCATAGAGACACCTATGGTGAGAATTTTAACTACGATGATTTCATTCCTTCCTTCACTGGAGATAAATTCAATGCGAAAGAGTGGATGGATCTAATGGCAGAGGCTGGAGCAAAGTATATCGTTCCTGTGACAAGTGAGTTGATACTAAAAGAATAGAAAGCAGGGCTAACATTCCCTAGAACACCATGAAGGCTTTGCAATATTCGATGTGCCCAAGTCGACCAGTCTACGGTCTTCTGTGCAACTTGGACCTAAGCGTGATTTCTTGGCAGAACTGATGAATGCAGCGAAAACATATCATCCAGATATCAGACGCGGAACATATTTTTCCATGCCCGAGTGGTTCAATCCAGACTACTCAAAATATGCTACCGATTGCTGTGGTGGCTTCCCTGGTGGGCCCCCCAAGAACCCTTACACTGGCGTCGGGGTACCTTATATCGGCCATGTACCTGTGGACGATTACGTAACAGAACTGCAGCTACCCCAAATGGAGACACTTGCCTACGACTCACGGTATGAGACGGAGATAATGTGGTGTGATATTGGGGGTGCCAACAATGCCACTATCATGCTGTCCAAATGGCTGAACTGGGCACGGGACCAGGGCCGCCAAGTTACATACAACAACCGCTGCGGATACGGCTCTACGGACCATAGTGACGCCAGTGGCGGCGACTTCACAACACCCGAATACGTCACAAACGGCAACACAGTTGTAAGTAAGTGGGAGACGAACCGTGGCATGGATCCATTCTCGTTTGGATACAATAAAGATACACCTAATACCAGATACCTCACTGGAATCGACATCGTTAAGACACTCGTCGACGTTGTATCTAAGAATGGCAATTTCTTACTTGACATTGGCCCGATGGCGAATGGCACGATCCCGCAGGTCATGCAGAAAGGGCTGAAGGATGCGGGGAAGTGGATCAAGGAACGTGGCGAATCTATTTATGATACGCGCTTCTGGCAGACTACAAGTGGAAAAGGAAGTTTCCGATACACTATCAGTGACTCTGCATTTTACATTCACGTTTTAGAGAAGCCGAACTCGATACTGTTGATCCCGGATGCGATCCCGTTTTTAAATGGTGATAATGTACAGGTACTAGGCGGTGGTATGTCGGGCACTGAGGTATCAGCCACAAAAAATGAGGATGGAACGGTAACCCTTCGGCTAGATGATGAAATCTCGTCGTCAGATAGATACGTTTGGACGTTTAAGATCATTTATCAATCGTAGAGAGTCAATGAGAGTGGATAGTATTATTGCGAGTCCTTATCTCTTAGTCAAAGGCTAGTAATTCCGGATCCAGTTCTTCCTTACGACGTTTATACCGAAGCTTGTTTGCAGGATCCATCATCTACCCCAAAATTTGGAGCTGCGCAATCTCCCAATTCGTGCGCAAAGTATCGATAGAGAGCGATGAATCTAGCTGGCAATTCGACTACAATGGTACGTCGTCGGAAGCGGCAGATGAATTTAGGAATATGGTAGCTGATAGTCTCTACAATTTGCAAACAGACTGGATGTACACCGCTATCATACAGATCGCACTAAAAGAATCGCAGCCAGAATGGAGTCGAGATGATTGGAGCTTTGTTCCTGTATCTTTTTCTTCGGGCAGGTATGCTCCAGCGAAGCAAAACAGATCAATTCCTGGAAACAATAATCACTCGAAGAATCTGACGGTTCAGACGTCTGTAATTCGTGCTCATTTGCATTGCAGTGCTGTTGACTGGACCAGCAACGTAGCCTCTTGGCTTACTGCGCAGAATCAAAACTCAAGATCGAATAACCTCACTGGATTAGATAATTACTACATGCCAGAGGCTATTTGTTCAGGATGGTAATTACCCGACTCGATTTACAGTCCAAGCCGATTTTACACGGTGCTGCGCCAATCTCACGGGAAACGCAACGTACAACCCATCCATGATTGCTTATTGGACGGAGAATTAGTTGTGAGCAGGTGATGGTCGTGATTATGATTCTAGCGAGATTGGTACTGGCAGCAACTTTACAGTCAAATGGATGCGAAGCCCCGCAGGTTTTGGAAGGATAACGGATTTTCCCGGCGACATGCTCTACTTTCCAGAGCCACCTGCTATACAAGCATTGAACTGTATGCCTGCCTTTAAACCAAGCCGAGCGGAAGTTAAGGTCGAGTCTAGTACCGGTGTAGTGCAATATTATCATATCCTTGATACGCCTCTCCGAGAGGATGTAGCTTGGCCTGATGCCTTCCAATGGCGGAACTTTTCCGATGGTGGCCAGCATAATCGCTCCTATATGACTGATTACGAGTATATCGGTCCACTGAGATTTATTTACGATTTGAATGTTACCATAAGGTGAGTTTAGCTCTAGACATAAACTTGGATCTATCTAATATCCCCTAAAGCTATGGATCATTCTTCATGAAATCACTTTTAAATGCCGCAAATATTGACCTCGCTAGTTCGTCTCATCCTAGTCACTTACGTCGTATTAGGACTCAGGGAGACTATCTACAAGATAAATTTTTCAATATGCGAGACAACAAAACGGGTCTCAACCTCGATTTCGTGTCTTATGCCGCTTATTCAGAAGTATAATTCAACCCCACCGCCCTAATGGATCCCGGAGTCTTAGCCAAAACATATAAAAAGGTCTTTTCAACTTTCTTCCAGCACTTTGAAGGCAACAACTTGTCTCATGAATACGGCGGCAACGTTTATCAACCGAGGGGCATGGACCTTAAAATTAACCCTCCAACGCGCAACATGCCGTCTCAATATACACCTGACGGATCTGTGGCCCCAAAATTCGAGGATGTTGTCCGCAATACTAGCGCCACAACGACAGCGACAATAACCACCTGGGTTGAAGTGCTCACGATGAATCCAGTCGCCTTCTGGCTCGCCACGAGCATCTTAATCTGGCTGACCGTGACCATCATCATTATTGCATCCGTACAAAGAAAATACTGCGGCGGCATGATGCTGAATGTGGAATGCATTGCTGACGTTCTGGTTCTCATCGCTGGTAGCGAACGTCTACTCGAAGTAATCAGAAAACAGGGCATGGACAACACAATCAAGGAGAACAAGATTTTCACGCGAATTGGCTGGTTTAGATACCCGGATGCGATGATGCGATGGCGGATTGACTTGGTCGAGGAAAGAAATGTGCAGATGCAGCCCATTTGTCTTGGATCGAGGTATGTGCCAGTATCGGACGACGATAGGGAAGGAAACGTGGATCGAGTGACTGACTCTATCTCAGATACCTGATAGATCGAACATTAGATTGACCTTAGTTGCATTAGGTGTTTGTAAATTTATAGACATTAACTCTACTCATAAATGGGCTTCTAGGCTCGAATTCTCATCCTACTGTTGTTTCTGTGTACAAGTATGTGCTCTAAGCTCAAAATCGGTCGTACCCTATCACAGCTTTCATAAGATTTGGTTTACAGTGCGACACCAACACTACACTCTTGCACACTGCGTGCCTAGAGCGCATTGCCCGGGCACGGTCCCCCTACAGCAGGCTTGCGATGTACCTGCTGGACACTGTCCTGACGCTGGCCGCGTGATGCATCGCGCACCAACTAGCTCAGCAGGATTCGATGGAGTATATCCGCAGATACCACCCCACACCCCCGAATTTGTAGACCATGGCGCAATGTTGATGCAGCAGAGACGTACAGGGCGGGAATCACATTGAGGTTGCTCGAGGACAGGGATCCGGGAAGTTACAGTCGCCAACGTAGTAGAAGTAACGCTGACTGTCCGTATTAGTGGCGAAGTTGTGGCCATAGTGATCGTGGGGGTTGGAGCAACGGTAGTTGTCGTTGTAGAACTTGTTTCTGTTGCTGTGTATACGGTCTCGGTAGCTGTAGTGAGTGTGGTAGTCGAAGTAAACGTAGCGACTTTGCTGCACGCTGCAGAAATATCTTGAGGTGACCAGCCCTGGAGGACTGACGGTGTTTCGAGTGCTGCTGCTGGCGTTGCTTGTAACCTCTTCTTCAGATTACCCTGCACCGTTGTGGTTATTACTACAGTTTCTGTGCTTGCTACGGTAGTAGTTTCTCCGGACACAACTACAGTCTCAACTAAGGTGACGGCAGAAGGTGTAGATGTGACTAGGTTAGTGGTTGTAGTACGTGTGACAGCCGAGATGGTGGCGGCGGTGCGTAATGTCTCTACTGGTGGACTGTAGTTGATATATGAGGCGCAGAATTGAATGTCCTCAGGCGTATTGAGCAACTTAGTGATGTCCTCCGTATTAGGAGTGGCCGGAGTAGAAGATGGTGTTGCAGGTGCAGATAGCGACTTGACTGAAAACCCTGTGCGTACGTCAGCGATCCGCTCTGTTGGATCGAATCTCTGCCGTAGGTAATCCTTACCGTTCACGCGAGAATCTGCGACCGGTCCTAGGTTTTTACTCTTGAGATAACATGGCCCGCTGCTGCCACTGTTACCGACGAATGATGCTGCAACACATTCAGAATTAGCCGCGCATGCAGCTGAGCAGGCTTCTAGTCCATCGGTCCACTCTAATTTGAGATCGCCACCATAGAAATCGATACCACAACTTAGGGTAAAAGAACGGCCGGTGGTGCTATCGGAACTGAGACAGCCATTGTTGTCAGGGCAGCTAATGGAAGCCGGACAGGGCTGTTGCGGTCCCGCTGGTGAGCTTGAGGGAGGGGTTGGGTTAACACGAGATATTATACTCGCGCCCGTCACTCCCGCACTATTTCTTAGGTCAGTATGAAAATTCTGCTGTCTTCCAAGACTACTTACCTGGTTGAGCCGCCGTTGAGTGCGTTTTTCAGGTAGCAATCCGTGCCCACGTAACTCAAAGCAACACATCCATCTGCAGACGCACAGATCTTCATGCATTCGGCAACTGTTGCGGCCTATCAAGATCAATATTCTGCTGGGACAGTCAATGGGTTTGTCACTTACATATACCCGTCCCATGTCGCCTCCGTAGAAGTCTGTTGCACAACTGACTTTGAAGTCAGCGCCATTGGAACTGAATGTACATTCGTTATCGTCTGGGCAGGTTGGTAACGATGGGCAGATGAGCGACGATGCACGCAATGCTAGTACCGAGGCTAAGAAAAGAGCAGAGGACATGTTGAGCGAGCTCGTCTTAATCGAATCTGAATGAAATTAGACACGGCTAAGATGTAAACTACTTGCACAAATCGTGCTATGTTATATAGCAGCAGGTATATTTCCTTTAGTACGGGGCAACTCCAATCGTGGTTCAGAGGCTGACTCTTTCGGTCCGCCATGGTGCGCACTAGTAAGAGGCCGTGGCTGAACTAAATTCATTTTGGATCAGGGGATAACAAAACGGGGTCTAGCACCACAAGCCACAGAACGAGGGCGCGGCAATAATAGAGGGTGCGGAGCGCCACAGTGTGTTCAACGAATCTCGGTTGTATAGATAGCTTGAGCATTGTGCAGATATGGATCTGAGTCCGCGGCTCAAAATCTAGACTTCGTAGTTCAGCTAGAATTGGGCATCTAGCGCGGTCGACAAAGATGCCAAAAGCGTCCAAAAGTCGTCTAGAAAGTCCCAAAAAAATCGCACGCTACTGAAGCATCGCTAAGGAAGCACGCACAACTTGAGTCAGGGGTTTTTCTGTTAAAGCACGGCCTTCTCTGACCCTTAACACCTACCTTTTGTCCCAAAGTAGCCCTCCTTAGTTGAATCTTCACTCTAACGTAGTGGATATTGTAATGGGTGGGCTCTTTGAGCCGAACGTACAATTACTTACGTAAACCATTTTGCCAAAAAGGCAGTAACAAGACTTCAAGCTTGTCTTGAAGTCAAGGTAGTTGCGTAGATATACTCGATTTGCTTGGCCTAGCCAAGCCACACATGGGCGTAGTCCCTTACAGATATAAGACTTTCGAACAACACCTCAGTTCAGTTTAGTAATAGTTTCCATATCGTGAATACAGACTATCTGACTATCTTTGCCCCTGTTACCAACTATTCGTGTCTATCACCATAATATTGTCTAACTGGAATGTTTATTCTTTTGAAAGTATGTTCAATAGTTCTGCGCCCCTTCGCATTCTCGTTTAGTTGCATATAGTTTTAAATCTCGGCTAGTACTAGTGTATTTAACCGATCGTATACTGCCGATCGCAATGCGAAGTCTAAGAGAAAGTCTTGTATCTAACACCATTTGACCGTATAGCCCTCAATTGCTACCCTTCAATCCAAGTATTCACCTGTTTCCTCTAGTCTATTTACGCTCTCTAGTTCGGACCCCCCTGCCCAAAGCACTTCAAAACCCCATTCACGCTCGTAATAGTGCTACCAGCATCTACCGAAAAATTGTAAGTAAGTGCGTCTACTCAGCAACGTAGTATATGTTGTAACGCTAAGAAGTGGGGCATGTTATTCACTTACTGATATCAAACGATCCACTCTGGACATTTCCACTGTTGTCCTTGCACTTGACAGATAAGAACAACGAACGTTGCGACGAGGGGAAAAGACCCTCGACTGAGCAGCTTTTGACAAAATTACCGCTATATTTTTCGTACGGTTAGCAATGACGAGTGAAAAAGGAATAGCGTTACTTTACATACTTTGCCTGTGGAATCAACTTCCCATCCGCATTCGCAAAACACGTTGACAAACGAAGAGCCGAACTGACAAGCTTGTTGCTGTCATTGAAGCAATCGCATCCCATGACACCCGCTTCAGCCTTGTTAATTATGAGATTGCACGACTGGCATTTGTTGGTGAAGGAGGCCGATGCCGTTGCTGCGAGAGCCGCGAGAAGGTATAGAAAGTGCATTGTGATTGAGTTGATTAAACTGAGACGATGCTGGTAGGAAGTGGTTCTTGAAGAATGAGCTTTGAAATGATATGGTATACAGTTGGGGATTACTCTTGTGTATTTATAATTGTTGGCTGGTGAGAGTGATTACCCGTTGAAGAGGTCATCGCTGTGGAAAACAGCATGCGACTCTTTCTCCTCGCATGACTTTCTTCAGCCTCCATCATACTTTCTTCAAGCGTTTCGAGTCAAATCGGCAAGTTGCTGGTGTTGTCTTGCTTATTCACAAGGTCTTGGCTGAACGTATCTGGTTATTGTTAGCCACTTTATAGACTATCCCTTATTAAGTGGGTAAAATCTCGTATGCACGGACGGTTGGTCTACTCCCTTTCTCGAAACTTTCCTTTCTAGAATTTTTCCTTCCCCAGAACATAACCCTGACTGAAACATTTCTATTTTTATGATATCAAATACCATGTGGTAAGCGACGCAGTTGTGATACTCTAAATCCGTCTCGTCAGAATTAACATGTTGAGTTTTGCTACATGCAGTAGGGGTGTAAGATTCACGCAACTACACTGCCTTAAGATTATACGCGCGCACATATTCATATACAAGTGATAGTATTTCATGTCTTATTCTTACTCATACTAGTTTCTCTGATATACACACCATACCTTCACACAACGTACTAATACAAGAAGAACCGTCTTTTGGATGTTGTTCCTTTCGGCAAAGAGATAGTTAACAAAAATTACCATTCATACATAAATTATTTGAGCTTAATACTTCTTTTTGCGCTGCCTAACATGCGGATCCTGCCCCTTGCGGTTTCTCTTTTGCCGATCCGTTGGCGGCCGATACGGCTCTTTGCCAAATTCCTCACGGTACAAGCTCAACATGTACTCGTCAACATGTCTCTTCAGCTTCTCATTGCCATGGATGTCCAGCTCTTCTTCGTCTTTGGAGGTGGAGGCGGCAGCAGCTTCTGAAGCAGCTCGTGTTGCATTGACGCTTTCGTTGAAGTCGACTTTGTCTTCTTGAATTTCGTCGACGATTTCCTTTTGCGCAATAGATGCCGCAGTACGATCTTCCGTGTCTTCAACATTGCCCATGACACGTGCGTCACCCAAGAGGCCAATCTTCTCGCCAAGCACACGTTCCATGGCTGCACCGGCTTCGTCGGTCGTATCGATACCCATGTCCTCGTCCAAAGCGTCTCGCCAGGTGACTTTGTTGAACGTATCAGTGGTGAAGTCACCCTTTTGTATGATTACATCATCGAGGAGACGCTTTTGATTGGACTTGCGAAGTATGTTGGCTTCGATAGTGTACTCGCTCACGAACTTGTAAATATGAACATCGCGCGTCTGACCAATTCGATGAGCGCGATCCTGGCATTGCTTGTCCATTGCTGGGTTCCAATCGAGGTCGTAGAAGATGACAGTGTCAGCACCAGTAAGATTGATACCGAGACCACCGGATCGCGAGGACAAGATAAAGCATAATATGCGCGGGTCATTGTTGAAACGATCGGTAAGGATCTGGCGCTGTTCGATCTTTGTAGACCCGTCGAGACGCAAGTAGCGATGCCCGTGGATGTTGAGGAACTGTTCCAGAATATCGAGGACCTTTGTCATCTGAGTGAAGATGAGAGCACGGTGACCACCAGCTTGCAAGTCCCGAAGAAGCGTTGCAAGGCGTTGCAGCTTTCCGCAATCGTACTGAAGCAAGCGTTTATCAGGAAAGGCAATGGACTGTCGGATGCGCGACGAGTGGAAGGGATCCGGTTGGTGAGCTGCGTCTGAGGCTTGGATGAGATCAACACCACGTTTGGACAAAGTTAGTGGGGCAAGCTCCTCGGCGGCAACAGCGGGTGTAACACATGTGAAGCGCGTGATTAGGGGTTCAAAAGCTTCAGCGCGTTGCTCTAGTGTTGGGATCATGTCGAAGAAGTGTGTAATTTGTTGATCGTGCCATTGTGATATGACTCTTTGAGAGCGTGGAGACCTGAATCCGAGACGACCATGATGTCGCTGAACAACATCGTATTGTACCACGTCCTCTGGCCTTGGCTGCAGATGCGCCTGGCCAAAGCCATGATACGTCGGGTGAGGAGCGTGGTGTGGCCGGTAAAGTCGTGGTCTGGGTACCTTTTTGCCTTCGGTGATGGCCCCAAAAGTATACTCGTGCCAGTCGACTGTCACTGCATCGATAATGTCCTTTCCGTATATCGGCATGAACTGGGTGCGAGCGCGTGTAAGAGCTACACATGTCTGTAGATGGTCTCGGACAGCTACCTGCTCTCGCTTGGCCATCGCTGCCATTGCCGATTGCAGTGGAGACGTACCCGCCTCGACTGGTTTATTGATGCGTCGAGTTTGACGCTCAATCAGGTCTTCCAAAGGCCGCGTGGCACGGATTGGATAAGTACGTCGAGCATGCCCTAACTGTGTCTGCTCCCGCCGCGCGAAATTGAGATTCAGAGCATCCAAACTTACTCTCTTGTCTTCCATGCCTTCTTGCAAACGCTTGCGAATAAGAAGATCTTTGATCTCGTACTGCGCGGCAACGGATTTTGGCATTGCCATGGATGTTACAATGGCTCGCGTTTCAAACAGATCAGGATGATTGCAAACTTTTCGTAGTGACATCAAGCAATTGATAATGGACATGTAGTTGCCTGAAGACAAGATCTCCTTTGTCGATGCGCGGCCCATGAACCCATCGTAGAGCTGACGTTGCCGTTTGGAGAGCTTGCAGTAGACTACATGCTCATATTTCCCTGGCATCTGCTTTTCGACTTCAGACTTTAGTCTTCGGAGCAGATACGGCCTGAGCACCTCGTGGAGTCGCTTGACAACCTTTTGTGCTTCTGCGTCAAGTTGTTGACGGCCCTGATCCAAGATTTGAGATGTAGGGTTCTTCAGGGCAAGTGTGAATTCTTCTAAGCCAGCAATGCGACCTTCTCCAGCAAAACCAGCCGGCATCAGGAAGTACAGTAACGACCAGAGCTCATCAATGTTATTCTGGAGAGGTGTTCCAGTTAACAGCAGTCTTCGTTCAGTCCGGAGATTGAGCATAGTCTGCCAACGCTGAGACTTGAAGTTCTTGATATTATGGGCTTCATCGAGCACGAGGTAACGCCAAGGACGCATCTTGAAAGCCGCAGCATCTTGAAGTATGAGTTGGTACGAGGTGATGACAACGTTGTACATGTCCTTGCCTGTGTTGCGCCATCCCAATCGCTTTCGTTTCCGCTCGTTGATGTCGCCGTAGTAAGTGAGGATCTTGAAACCAGGCAGGAATTTCCGGAACTCCATTTCCCAGTTGAGCATGACACTCGTGGGTACGACAACCAAGTGTGGCCCCCAGATCTCGTGGCGGACAGCAAGGTAGGCCAGAAGTGAGATGGTCTGTATAGTCTTGCCAAGACCCATTTCGTCTGCTAGGATGCCATTGGTGTCGGACTCGTACAAATTCGCAAGCCAGTCCAGTCCGTCGTGCTGATACTCTCGGAGTGTGCCTCGTAGCAGGAACGGGACTTCGGTTCTCGGCGGCGAGGATGCGTGACGAGACCGAGGGACACTTTTAGACTGCACAACATCTTCCATTGGAGTAGCCTCGATGGGTTCGACCGATGTTTGAGGCTCGGCGGCCTCAATGGAAGGAGCAGGCTCTGATGGTGCCGCGTTTCCGTTGACACACGGTTCATCATTCATGGCAACTGCACTACGTCCATTGGCATGAAGTTTCCCTTCCTCGTCCTTCATGGACGTGGCGGCATCGCCATTAACCTGCTCTGTCATTTGTTCCTCGCTCTCCAGCTCATTATCCTCGATTGCTGTTTTTGCAGCTTCTTTCAGCTTCTTCACATCCTTGGGTGCCAAGAAACCCATCAAGCCAACATCCTCTTCTCCGCTGTCGTCGTCGTCTGCCTCCGAATCGTCTGCGTCATTCCCGTCTTCGTCTTCAGTCCCAGATCCTTCATTGCTTGACCAAGCTTCGCTACCGGATTCCGAGCTTTTATCGTCGTTTTCTGAATCCATGAGGGCGTCATCAACCTGATCGAGTTCTACAGTAGCTGGGTCAATGTAACCTGGCTTTTTCTCATCCTCATTGTCTTCATGGTGATGGAATCCGTTCGCAAGCGTTTCCGGGGGCTCGTCAAAATCTTCAGTTTCAATGTCTGGGTCAGGGGTCGGTGCAGGCGTGCCTTCCTCCTCCTCTTCATCTCCAGAATCATCCTCATCCTCGGAACTAGTCACCGGTAAATCAGGAAGCTGGCCATACTTCTCGCGTAGCTGTTCGGCGGTGAGATTTGCATCATCGTCATGCTCGTTTTCCGGTTCACTATCTGAACTCGAAGACATGACATCGTCATCAAGCTGTTGTTCAGATGTATTTGAGGCCGCGCTCTCGAAATCCTCCATATCGTCGAGATTACGATCTTCGCTCATCAGCGAAGATGCACCATCACCAGCGGTGCGGCCTCCAAGAATTTCCTGTGCCTGGTTGAACATGTCGTCCATGGCCTTGTGTCCAAGCTGTAGCTGTTCCTCCTCGTACTTGGTCACACGCTCCTTGTCAATTTCAACCCTGACCAGGCCCCACGCGTCTTTGACATCTTTGACCACCTGCTTGTATCTAACCACCTGCCGCTCCGTCTCTTCTTGTTCAATTTCATCCTGGCTCTTTCGCTTGAACTTATTTTTCCAAAATTCGTAGGCTTCTCTAGCCAGAATCTTTGCCGTCCGGCGATGAAACGCCTTTTCTTCTTTGAGCAGCTTGTTAAAGTGCAAAGCATGCGCAACCACATGGTCCCAATGGCCGTACTGAGCTGGCGGTTCTGGTGCAGGCTCAGGAGCGTAGACACTGCATCGTTCTTGGCTCAGTACTCCGTGCTCGGCCGCTTCAACAATACGCAGCCGGCGTTGTGCCTCGTCCTGGGCCTTTTCCTGTGTTATGCGCAGCGACTCCTCGCCTTCCAACGGGTCATCTTGTTGTAACCATTCTTCGAGTGAAGCGAACTGCGACTTGGGCGGGGCGTGATGGGGATGGCGGTTCGGGG